TTAGTCTCTAAATATAGAGTGAGACGAAGAGAGAGAAGGCAACGATGAAGTCTATTTCGGCCACTTTGATTGTCCATCTTAGTTTTGATTTGTTCACTTTAGAGATGAGAGTTTATTTATAATGGTCCCAAGTCATAAAATTGTTGAACAAATGAGATCGATATCCCAAAATATTTATTTGAATTTTTTAATTTAATTCAAATATTTAAGTAAGAATATTTTTTAGTTTTCAAGTAACAATTAAAAGTGTCGACGTGGGACTTGCGGGGTAAAACATGCACGAAGCGAGGAATCGTCACTTAGCTAATTGAAGAGAGCTAGGAAATCTCAAACATACTAGTCCGCAAAGATACTTGGGTAAGGGTCGTTATGTATGAAGAAGATATAATATCATTGTCATCTTATCCTACCTAAGGTAAGTCTGCATTTTTGCATGTGAAAATAAAAATTTGGTTTTCTTATATTATGTTTCTATGATTACTTGAATGAATTTATTTTAGCAGAATAGAATTGAGTAATTTTGGGTTTAGGTCAATCCGAGGTCGATACCCATACTCGGAGGATAAAAGTGGGAGAAATTAGAATTTCGGCTAGTTTTTAGAGAACACAATCTATATCAAAAAATAGGTGAGTTTTTAAAGATCGGTAGCCTTTTATTAACATGAGCAAGAAATCACCGATAACTTCATTTTACTCAAATAAAAAGTGGATAACGAGGTTGAGATTCCACTAATGACTTCGTCACATAAGTGAGAAGCCTTTGATGACTTCGTTTCGGATAAGCATACAATAAATAAAATAATTTTGAAACTATTGACGACTTTGTGACGCAAGTGGGAAGCTACCCGACAACTTTGTTTCAATAATTTAAAAATTAAGTAAAAAAAATAATTTTTTTTTACATATATTTTTATGCTTCCCTGTTTCTATTATAAATATCTTACTCAAGGAAACACAAATTTTTAGGAACAAAAAATACATATCAATAATTTATTGAAGTGTTATTTCATTTTTGTCCCTAACTAACTTATATTTGCTTGGTTTTAGTAAAACTGAAAAATGATAAAAGATAATAAAGAAAATGAGTGAAAATAGGCAATTATATACATTGAATTTAAAGTGAGATGACACTTACATTAGAACTTAAAAAATTGAACATGTGTTATGAAGAAAAACAAGAATTGAAATGGAATCACGAGCATAAATAAACAAGCAAACATAAAAAAGGACGAATAAGGCTGGGGATGATGGCGAGACCATATGGATTAAAAAGATGTAACGAGACCACTCTAGCTTTAGTAGGACATGAAAGCCCACTCGACTCTAATAGGTGTGATAGACTACTCTAACTTTAGCATGACGTAATAGACCATTCCGATTCTACCAGCTATGACAAATCACTCGACTTTGGTAGGAGGTGACATATCACTTTGACTCTACTATAGTTGATAGACCGCCCGTGTGATTTACATGTGAAACCCGTGTATGGAGACCAAGATTGTGTGATTTATGAACAAAAATATCTATTAAGAAAGAAAAAAAATATATAATCCAAGTGTTTTTTTATATAATTAAAATTTATTGAAATCAATTTTATAGGTTTTTTTAATTAAAAATTAACAATGCATATACACACGAAACACTTAAAATTTCCTTTTTTTAATGAATATTTTGAAATCAATCTCCTAAAATAAAATAATTAAAATTATATTTTATATATATAAAAAAACCTAATGGTGCCATACTTCTCAAATATAGTTTTTTTTTTATGCTAATACTATTTATTATTTTGAATGTATATTTACTTTCAAAAATTAGTCTTCTCATTAATATTATAAAAAATATTTTAAATTTTAAAATTTTATGCATTTTTTAAATTAATTATTGTTTTATTTTTTCGAGTGCAATCTTATAAAATAAATAATTAAATTTATACATTTGTTTTTTCAAAATTTCTGATTTATTGAAACTTGCGTTTTAAATTATTATAAATTTTTATTTAAAAATTCATTCATAAAAAAATCATGTTCTTTTAAGAAAGAAATATATTATAAAAATATAAGAAAGAATTATTAAATACAAAAATTTGATTAAAAAATCTTTTAAAGGACTTATAACATGGTGAGGACCATCAAACGATAATGATTTTTTTAAAAATAATTTTATTTATTTTATCGGATCAGCTAGTATGAAACTATAAAATGATTGGGCACTACAATCAAGAAAACACGATTTAACTTTTCAACTGGTTGGGTGTTGATTTGAACAAAAGAAATGAGAGAATATTTGGCGTGATTCACTCCAGGGAATTAAGTAATCAAGGTTATCCACTTATTTAGAAAGCCAACTAACAAACTAATGAGAACCCCAACCCAACCTTGATAATGTACGAGGAAAATTAATTAATTACGAACAATTATAGGATTCCTATTGGATGCTATCTGCCAACCTCTCCCACTTGTATTTTCCTTTTTATGCTGCTGTTCCCTTCTCTAGTAAAGTTGCTGTTTTCTGAGAAAGTCTTTTGAATTTGAACGACCAAACCAACTAGCTTGTAATTAAGAACGAAATAGTAGCCGTGGGTGCTGATTTTCACCCGGATTTTCTTAATTTTTTTGAATGAAAAGAATATGACTTGAATCCAAGATCTCATCTTTTTTTTTTTTTTTTTAAAGAAGAGTTCTGCTAATCTAAGAACTTATTTATTGACCATTTACGTGGGTAATTACATGTGCCTACATTAAGATTAGTAGATACTCTCGTCTAGAAAAGAAAATTTGGAAGAAGGAAATAGTTGACGGCTGAGTGAGCTGCGTACAAAAACTGATCCTCAGGTCTCAGCTAGCTGTTATGATTATGAAGGGGGGAAAAAAAGCAAACCTTATGTGAGACAAGCCATGCCTTCCCTACTTCTCTTAACTAGGCCTAGTAAAAGGCATCGCTGGTGACATAGCTAGAAGCAAACCATTAGAAAATACACATGCATATTATATGACAGATCCTCAATTGGAAGTATCTCGCACAAATACTTGGAATTTATATTTTTGGTACGAAGAATTTTTAAAATGTTACACAAAATATTAACAAAATTCCTTTATCAGCATAAGAGCCTATATAGATACTTTATTTAGAACAAATTCTGTATTTACTTGAATGAAGGAAATTCCTCTCTTTATGCTCTCATTAGTTTCTAGCAAGTTTGCCAGAAATGCAGATGAAGTAAACGAAAAGATACAAGCACTCAATTATACGAGGCTATTTCAAAACGAGCCAGTAATGCGAATTTATTTAAATAAAGTTTTCTTTTTTTCTGAAATCATTTTCCAAGAAAATTTTCATACATGAAATGAATGGATCCCATTAATACGATCAATATATCTAATATTTACTTGAGACGCATCAAGAAGTAGTTTCTGCAGGATGATTTTCGGTGAAATTAAAATTATGCTTTCAATAATGTCTTCAATATAAAAATCACAATGCTTTTTAGGGATGTCACCTTCAAGATGAGTAGGTAAGGCACACATTTTTCATAAGACAAGTAAATGATTGAAACATTACAGCACATTGGTATTAATTAAAATGATAATCATCAACATCAGCGTTAAAAGGTAATGAATGAATCACTCCTTTTCCTTCTTTTCACTTTCTGTTTGAACAAAAAGAGCATAAATTAATTGATATTTGCATGATTTAAGCAATTAATATTCCCGTGCTCAATTAACTATTGCCCTATGCTTTTGGTAAAATCGTCTGCAATGCCAGCTGGTCATGCAGATTACCATGCATGCTAATCAATATAAAGGCTGAAGTTTTTTTTTTCCTTTCTTTCAGATTAATGGCGACCTAAACATTTTAAATTTGCAAAAGTATTGATGAGATCCAATTAGTATTTCATTTTTTTTGGAAAATGCATTAATAAGAGTAATGCAAATTGTTCTTATCGAAGCATCCTCTTCACGTACGCATTTCTCCTAACTGCATATTAAGTTATGTTTCTGTAGGTCTTTAATTAGAAAGTGATACAAATTAAAACCATGCATGCCGAATGCTAACAAAATATTTTCAACGTTAATTATCTAGTAAATTAAGAATCAAGAAGCTGGCTACTTGTCTTCCCAACGAAAAAGTTATTATGTTGAATACCTCAACAGGTTCATATCTTAAATCACGGGAATAATTTTAAGGCCAGAAATTAACAACCCTTTCTGAAAAACCTGCATCTTCTACTTGAAGAAGCATATAATTCTAGAAAAACTTAAAGCTATCACACCATGTCGAAAAGGCAGGTAAGAAAAGGAGCCTTTCCATCAGCAAAAGCAGTAGCATAAACCATGCCAAAGTTGACAAATCATAAAGTAAGCAATTCTTATGAGCACGAAAGATCATCTTCATGAAGATGAATTAGGGACCACCTTTGTATAGCAATTGTCTTAATCTCCAAAACTAAGGCCCAACCAAATTGTGTTGCTAACTTAATTTTGTCTTCATGGAAAACCCATAAATAATAATAATAATAATAATAATAAAGAAAGAAAAATAAATATCTAGCAATAAAAAAAAATTATATCACCGACTTAAACAAGAGCCACAAATGATTCAATCACTCAGCCTAGGCAAACCACAAAGAGAGAAAGAGAGGGACATCTACCTGCAACGAATAAAACACGATAAATATTTGGAAAAACAGATTCTAACCAAAAGAGGGAAGAAATATCTATATTACCTTGCATCAATCACTTGCAATTCCAAATTAGCCTAATAGAAAATAAAAAAAGTTCTTAATTTCCAATGACAAAAATAAAAATAAAATAAAGATGCAAAACTATTCTAGCTATGGAACTAATGTCCATAGTATTTTTAACCAACTAGTGTAGCTTTATGTATATACGTATGGAGTATTTATCTATACCTAAACTACTTATCAACCATCACCATCCTTTGGTAAGAACTCCGGCTATACCCCCACCGAATGTCCGATCCATCAAGTATATTTGATTTTATCCAGCCAAGTCATGCAGCAACTGAGCTCCCATCAAATTCCTATAAGGCAAATTCTGTGCTTCACCATCTAGAATTGAGTACTGAACAGGTTGGCAATCTTCAATATGGTCTCTAGGGTAAAATAGAGAACTCTGAGAGGCAGGAGAGAATGCTAAGCTCACACCACTCCCTCCATGCTGTTGCAACCCTAATGTCAAGGACACTCCGCCACCACTGAAGTTCTGATTATTAGCACTATCATTTGCATAAGAAACCCCAGCCGCTGTGTGATGATTGTAAGATGAAAAGTCCAATTCCATAGCACCAAAGTTTCCAAAATTCTGTTGATGGTGTTGCAAGTGGTGGGTTTGAAATGTTTTAGTGCTTTTGTTGGTGCCATTTTTATCTGCGTTAGAGATAATGGAAGAGAGGCATTCAGAGTCAATTCGAATGAGCTGGTCCGGTGTTGGTTTTTGATCTGTTGAAGAAGGATTTTGGTTTGGCCGGCCATTAATATTTTCATCAAGATCGGGAACCCCATCCGAGGAGGCGATGTTGTTGTCTTGCTCCTTTGTTTCTTCCAAGTACATCTCTTCCACCATAGGTTTCCATAGCCTCACTCTTGCATTGATAAACCAATTGGATACCTATTGAAAGACATGTAAAAACAAGAGGCAGCACATAAATTATTAATACTGTATATATAATCATATTATAATTAATGACCTTTTGTAATCATTTGATCGTTAGAACTGTGGATCCTAAGAAGATATGCCCCATTGATAATATAAATTAATTCATGGAAGATAAAAAATAATCTATAGAGAGATGTGGACGTGCCTGGCTTCTTGAGAGACCAGTTTGGCGGGCTAAGATATGTTTATCAACATCACTTGGGTACCTGCAAAAGGTTTACCACGAAAAACACGGGGGTTAGTGCTTGATGTGAGGCTAGAACTACATATGCATATTAGTTAACTCCTCTTGCTTGTGTGAGTGAGCGATATGGGTCCTATGGATAGAATCAAATCCACACGAAAACGAAAAATAGTACATAGAATAGGAACTGAATGATTGAAAATAATATGACAAAAAGGAAAGAAAGAATCTGAATGGAGGTGGGTAGAAATTAACAAGGTATTTGCTTTGTTTTTGCAAGCAAAATGAGGGAGACCATTCTTAAGACTTAACATATGAAACAAGTTACTGGGACTAGAACACAACACTTGACATGTGTTGTATTTTTGTTTTCGTTTGGAGAAAACTTTGATTCTTTCATTAAATCTACTTTGTAGTCTAGTTATATAAGGACTAAATCTTGTAGAAGCCCAGAGAGGGATTGAGAGAGATATTTACGGGTGGAGAAAATGCTCAAACAACCAAGCTCGAAGAACCGACACAGATCTTTCAGGTAGGCCTCTTTGAGGTCTCCATGGGTGACTCTCCATCATGCTCATTTGTTGGAAAGCCCTTTGTTGCCTTAGAGTTTGATCAAGAACCTTTAGCCTTGGAGTTTCACCTCTTGTTGTACCTGGTGCAACAGGGTCTTTCTCTCCCATAGCTTTCTTTGTCGCAAGAATTTGAGCCACAATTCCATCTCTTAAACATCTGAAGTGCCTTGACATGGCCTTAGATGCTAAAGCTGAATAGACTGAGGCCGCTCCAGTACCTGCCACGGCTTCAAAGGATGATACCACAGCCTTCATTTGATCACAGTAGTGCTTGTATCTTCTATCCACCTAAAATAAATAAACAAACGAAGAAGAAGATACAGATAGGTGTGAAAATAGAGTTGAAGTTTCTTAGCCATTGAAAATATGAGTTGCAGGAAGGATTAATACATGCAAAAGGAGAGTAATAAGATGAAAAAGAAGATGCCATGGAAAAATATATAAATAAAGGAATAGAGGTTTCTGAAAGTAGACGAAAAGCTTGAATTGTCATGATGTGGGCATTAAAGAAGAGGCCCCAAGTCGCTAAATTAGTTCCAGAACTAAGTTTAGAACCACAACAAATCAACTACAAGAGTAAAAGTTTCAATCTTTCTTGTCAGTAATTAAGGTCCAAGAAACATGTTCTGGTGTCATTTTTATCTTTGTTGAAAATAACATCGAAAAAGATAGGACCTTTGTGGACATTTTTAAAACAAGGAGTTCATAAAACACATATATACCTCTTCCAGCATTGAAAGCAGCTTTGTCTTTCTCTTCTGCAATTCAATGAATTCAAGAGACTGAAGAGATTGCTTCCTTGAAGAACTTCCATTCTGATCATCATCCCACTGTTTAGGCTTGTGGGGCTTTTGCTTTAATGCATCACCTAGCTTTGTCCCAAGACTACAAAACTCATTCAAGAGGTCCTGAGCAGGACCCAAGTACTTTGAGTTCCTAAGTTGAAACTGCCCTTGATGATGCAAATGATGCGAATTTGCAGCTTGCATCATCTGCTGCTGAATATTTTCTGGAGATTTGCCAAAGAACCTCATTTCTTCTTGTGGACTAATTTGATTCTGATGAGTAGGTGCGTGCCTTATTAGTTCAAAAGACTGTAGCCCAATACTAGATGGATTACTTGAGCTCAGAGAAAGTGAAAGACCTTGACTTGGCCTCTCATTTCCTTCACACGGAAAGACACACCTCAAAGAAGAATCATCGACAAGCAACCTGTTCTCATGCCAAGGAGCTGAGGGATCGGGCCCAACCATTAGATTCTCATTACTTGCGTCAGAAATCCCAGTCGAGAAATCAGTTTTGTTGAACTCATGTTGATAAAAATCACCACTTGTTGATTCATTGATTGTCTTTGAAGAAGAAGGACCACCAGGGTTGTTGTTGTTTGCTGGTTTGTTAAAGAAACCTTTCCACATAACAGAGTTACTGTCACTATGTTGCTGCTGTAGGTTCTTTGAAAACCCTATCATCTCCATGCTTGTAGTCAAGTTGAACATCTCTGGATTGGATTCAAAGCCTTGGATCTGATTCACAAGATGGGTTTGGATTGTTGGGTTACTAGATGAAACATCTGTGTAACAAAAACTTCCTGATGATACCATGTTCCTTGACTTGTCTTCGCACAGTTCTCTAGCCATGTAACACCAAGAAATATCTCTTCTTTATGTTGCTCTTGCCTCTCTACCTCTTTCTTCAAACTGATGTTGTTTCTGCAACTACAATTTCATGGTCAAGATTCACTCTATTGAAAGAAGTAACAGAATTCGCACCATTAAAGCACAGTTACAAGTATCATAAAGCCAGATCAATCAATGAAATTACCATTTATTTCTTTTATACTCAACTAAACCAAAAAAAAAAAGAAACAAAAGGATGACTGTAACTTGTTGTTGCTAATTTAAGAGGAGATCAATTTACCTAGTTAAAAGGAAAGAGGAGTGGACTGTGGTCAAGAATCAGTATTAGAAGAAGAGGGTTTGCGCTGCTCAGTGGTGGTGATTTGGTGGGGGAGACAAAAGAAGAAGAAGAAGCAGAAGAAGGAGAAGAAGGAGATGATGAATGATGATAAAATGGAGGGAGCCAAAGAGAGGTAAAGAGCCCTCTCTTGTTTTTTTTTTCAGTCTGCTTCTCTTAATAAGCTAACATGGCATGCTCATGAAATGAAAGCAAACCTAATTAAGAAGAAGAAAAAAGGATCAAATATATCTTCTGGAGATCAGATAGAAGTGATGATGACCCCCTAGCCATGATCATCATTTGTATATGCTCTCTTCTCTCTCTATAGCTCGCTCAAGTGGGTCAATGCTGCAAGATATAAATACGTCCAAAATAGACTTCTCCTAGTAAGAAAACCATAAAATCCCCTCAATTATTTCACACCAGCCAAATAAAAAATGACCATAAGCGAGAAAAAAAAATCATATCCTTAAATCATTATTCTAAAGTGATTAAAGAAATAATTTGATAAAAAAAAAGGAAAAAAAGTTGAACTCCTCTGCTTCACAAAGTACTAATGACAGAGAAACTGGGAGCAACAGAAAGTAATAATCGTCCTTTGCCTAGTACACTAACTACAAGCCGCCACATGACTTCCTGTTTTGCTTCTTTCTTACTGAGTTCCCGTACTATATACTACTAATCCCTCCATTATGCGCTAGTCTGGTCCATAATCATAGGCATATAATTCTATAATTGTTTTGTATTTAACTTTTCTCTAAATTAGTTTTTTTTTTTTTAAAAAAAGCTTATAGAATGGTTATGTAATTTTTAAAACATTTGATATTTTCTAAACAGTTCAATAAATTATATTATTGGTGTAAACGATTCTCCATCATAAGTAGATTTTATTAATGGTTAGTTAAGTTATTACTAGACATCTTGTCGTAAAAGAAATTATATCATATTTTTGTTTTATATATAAAAAAGGCAGTTTTGCTTCTATTTTTCTCCCGCAAGTACCCTACAAATACCCATATGGTACAATATCCTTACAGTAATAGATAAATGAGTAAAAACGATACTAGAACCACATTAATAACAAATATGCTTCTTTAATTTCATAGTATTATATAAATATTATATCTTTGTGGTTCCAACGAATCCCAAGAAATCATTCCTGAGTAGGAGTTACGTCCAGGCTTTTTCAGATGGGTTTCTGTGCGACTTATGTGTGGAAGAGTCTTTGCATTGGTCCTATCTCTGATTGGTGGCCCTAGATTTTGTGCAATACAATGGGTTCTTTTTTTCATAAAAAAGAAAAAAGAAAAAAGAAAAAAAAGGGGGGGGGGAAGAAGCCTCCAAGTAAGAAGAGTTTTAAGGGTGGGAGAGACAGAGAACTATGAAAAGAATAGATGCGCCAGGCCAGGCCAGGCCTGATGGAGTGGATTTGTGGTGCGTAGTGCAAAAAATTGTTCCCAAAATAAGGGAGAAAGAGATGAGGTGGTCCAAATGTTTCCTCATTTAATCCCTCTAATTAATTGCCACATTAAAGTATTCCACCCATCTCCTCTCTCTCTCTCTCTCTCTCTCTCTCTATTGCATGGGGACCAGCATCTTTTCTTTCTCTCCATCATCATCTTCATCCTCATCAAAACATACCCAACTCCCACGCGCACCCATGTATTGCCTGTCCAATAACCGCATCCTATCAACATGCTTTGCTTCATTTCATTTTTTGTTTGGTCAAATTAGACCCATGATAACAACTGATTAACCCATTACTTTCACACAGTAATCAAATTTATTAAGTTTAGAAAATTGATATCAGGATCCTTACCTAACTCATTTTTTTCAACAATATCATGCACATATATAGATGTCCTATATATATATATATATCACATAATATTTCAAGTTCATGTTTTGCATTGAAGAAAAAAATTTGATTCTTAATTTTATATTACAAAAAAATTAATATACTTCTTCTATGATCAATTATTTATTTTACAGTATTTTAAATTTACTTTTATGATTGGAGGTTGATTATATATGATTAAAACATTCTAGTTAATTATGAACACACACTATTTATATTATTAGTTTAAATTTTGAATTTTATGTATCTAATCCACGCATGTCTTAATCAAAATATATAAATTCATAAAAATTAATTTGCAATATTAACAATTCTAGCAATTTTTAACTAAACAAACAAAGTTGCTAGAAAACTTATAAAATAGAATTCTTTTTAACAAAATTATTAATTTTTGTAAAGGAATTCCTATTTGAAAAATTAATTAAGAATTCATCTTCTTCTTTTTTTTTTCCTTTTTTTTGACTAAAACAAAATCACCCTTTTTAAGTTCTTGTCTATGTTTGATGATAGTACAAACTATATCCATAAAAGCATGAAAGACATTTTTAGACGCGTGAATTTCCATACCTTTTTATTTTTTCAAGTCATTTTGTTTGAAAGTAATACGTTTGTGTAGTGTTTTTGGTAGTGTTGTTCTACTACTACTAATACATAAACGTATATGCACATTATTACACATGCCTAGGGTGAGAGTTGGCAAATAAACTCTCACATGCTTTAATTTTTTTGTCCATTAAAAGCAGGTGGTCCTCTAGCCCAAGCTTTCTCCGCCGCTTGCCAATTTTCTCTCTTCCACTACTCTCTCTATCTGTTAACCCTACAACACTACGCTACACTAAACTACACCTCTTGCTTACATCAACAATTCTCTGCTCTCTCTGCTTGTACTTTTATTTTTTCCTCTTGCTTGAACTGCACCAATTGCGCATCTTATCCGTCAGCCCAGCAGTATAGTTCAGGGTCTGTAGTAACTTCACGTAATTTTCATTGGATCTTATATGTTAATGGGGTTGTTTTTACCCGAAGCTAAAAAGCAAATATGTGTATGTTGTGTTTGTGATTTGATGTGATCTCTGAGGTAAATTAGCACCCACAAAATTCGGGGGATTAAAAGAAACTGCGAAACTCTGAGTTATGTCACTACATCACTAGCTGCAGTATACGTTTTTGAGATGTTTTTGAAAATTGTGACTGCAGGGCTTTTATAAGGGGTTTTGGAATTTTGGTAGCTTATTAGAGTGGTCCATTATGATTTTTTTGCTTGGACCATCCTAAGCTACTTACAGCGTACTACAATTGTAGCAGTGGTACAGGCAGTATAGATAATAGGTGGTGCAGCTTTATTTGATGGTGATCGATGACGATCATCGTCAACAGGTTGGACCTAGCTAGGGATCAGAAATTTGGAGTTTGAAAAAAAAAACACGAAGTAACAACCCTAAACGAGGGTGTGGATCAAATGGGTTTTTGGAGACTAATAATTGGTTTGGACTGATGATTATGGCTCTAGCAGTGGCATTGTTGTTGTAGGTACATAGAACTAGGAGTACTTTTTGACAGTACGATGTCAGCAAGGGACATAGGGATCATAGGGTCCAGTCAATCTGTGTTTGACTAATTTCGCTTTGTAATTTTTGTTTCTTGGTAAATAATTTTACATTGTAATTTCTGAGTACGATGTTTGACTGTTTCGGATTGAGTTTCAATAATCAATGGTGCTTTTTTTTTTTTTTTTTTAGATTCTACAACTTTGGTTCTTGGACACAGGCTGATCACAGTTGGGATTTTGGATCGCAGGAGAAATAAGTTAATTAAGCTAGCAAAGATAGAAATATGTGGCCATCATGCTTTTTATTAAAATTTCAATCTTCAAATTGAAAAATTAAATATCAATAGGTAGTGTTGGAAGAAATTAAAGAGTTACATGTAAACTATATTGGAATGTATCCAACCAGTGTATGTAATTACTAACTATGAATGGTCTAATTTTAATTAAAATAAATGATCTGTTTTTAAAGGGACGGATGATATAAACATTGATCCGAAAACATGGCATATCATCATCAAATAAAACAAACGAAAAGAAAAATATGTTCGACAACAAGAAGTTGTTGGTAGAACTGGTATAGCTAGGGCTTGCAAAAAGAAATTGCGGGATTGTCTTTTTCGTGTAATGATTAAGAGTCTCCATTTCACTGTGATGATAAAACTTATAAAAGTAATTAGTTTATTGTCACCTTGCTTTGAATTTTTAGCTAAGGAATGTGAGCATAAGAAGTTGACATGCCCAATTACTACGATAGGAAGTATATAATGGAATATATATATATATATATATATATATATATATATATATATATATTTGATCGAGACGCTGCAAGTCCAAGTCCAAGCCAAATGCCCTTCCCAAGGTCAATAAAGTTGAGACTTGACATAAGAAAGGATAGAGGGAACTGTTTACATGTCACACTTTTATGCTTGTTTGTTGCATTTTTACTTCTGGCTATCTGTTTCTTTCATTTAGAGGACAAAAATCCACCACATACTGAAATGTATATACTTTACGAAACTATACGTATATATTTTGGGATTGTTTTCATGAAATAAGGGCTATCAGCACAAGCCTATACCTTATCTGGTCCATCATTGAAACTATTGTATATATGTCAATACATCGTAATAGTATAAGAGCAAAAACATTGCTGTCATGGACTTACAATGTCAGTGATTACAAGTTCTTTGGTCCTTTTTAATGGCGGCTGCATGGAGAAACATGTTGAACAGTTTTAATTTTTCCGTAAAAATTAATTAAATAAGTTAGTT